AAACGCAAAGCAGGAGATGAAGCATCGCTGAATATGTTTCCAAACCAACTTCATTCTAAGCCAAAGACTAGAAAATATGGTGAAGCAAATCTTCCCTTTGGTTTCACCTGCACAAGTGCCAGGTAGGTCTCCCTGCATAATTGGTTTTCCCTTGTCGGCAGCAGCGCTGGGCTCTTCAAATCATGGACAAACAGTATCCCACATTCTTGATTTTTAATTCACAAACACTTGTTGTAATGACTTTTGCTTCCTCTCTTTCTTTCTCCCTTTCCTACCTCCCAGCCATGTCTGTCCCGTCAGCAATAGCGGTTTTTGATACGGGCGACACGGGCGGTTGCCCGGGGCGGCATCGTGGTGGGGGCGGCATCACGGGCATCGGCAAAAAAACAAAAAAAAACAAAAACAAAAAAAAACATTGCTCGTACTCATGCCGCCCCATTTGCTGGGAGTAAGGGCGCCCTCCGTTTGCGAGGTGCGCCTGCTGCTTGCTGCACAGGGAGGAGAGGGCGGGGCGGCGGGGTATTCACTGGCTGGCTGGAGCAGCATCTAATAACCAACTCGCAAAATAAAACAAAATAAAAACAAACCAACAAACACGAAACACCAGACATTATGATACAGACTTATAATTTGCACCGATGTTTTTTTTTTCGAAATTCTATACGCGAAAAGTGAGCGCGAGAGCCCTCGGTGCGCCTGCTCGCTGCTGAAGTCAAAGTAAACTTTATTGTCATCTCCGCTACATACAGTCCAGTATATAGAGAGACGAGACGACGAGGCTCCAGTTACAGCAGTGCAAGTAAACAAACAATAAATATAAGAAGAGTAAGAAAAGGTCTATTAGGTTATGTTGTGGCGATCCTCGGGTTGAGGGATTTGTGTTCATACTGGAGTGCAAAATTAAAACCAATGGAAGATGGACAAGAAAAGTTCAAAGCCATCAGGTGCTCAGTTTAGAAAAAATAGAAAAGAAGAGGAAGAGAAACGAGCAAAAGATACAGGTAAGCAGATGTGTCATTGGATAATGGCAGGTCATCCTGAAACAATCAGAATCAGAATACTTCTTTATTAATCCCTAAGGAAATTATGTGGATTTCAGTTGCTCCAAAAAGAAATGGTAAAAATAGTAACAGTAACAGACTAAACTCCAAAAAATACATTGTTACAGATTTTAATAATTAGTCATTGTCAGTTGTTGATTTGTCCTGTTCTCATTGTATGACGAATTATGATGGCTGTTTGCATACTATGCATACTCTCTCTCTCTTCATATGTGTGTGTGTTTCTCTGGTGAAATGTTGTGTGTTCGCCCGGGGCGCCAAACAGGCTAGGACCGCCACTGCCCATCAGTAACAACTAAAAATACAATAAAAAAAAGAATAATAAAGGTTGATCAAATGGACCAATACGGCGAGGCCTTGATGATCCACTTGGTAAAGTAAATTCTTTGGGTATCTTTGTTGGCCTTCAGACAACAATTTTGATGGCTAAAGAACCAAACGGGACAGGCAAAAAACAAAAAAACAAACAAACACACAAACAAAAAAACCCTGCAGCTCTGTGGCCATTATTGGCTACATGCTGATTATTACCATTGATTGATTTTTTTCCCATGCAGTTTTTAAACAGGAAATAAGTTTAAAAACCACATTTGGTGAATAAAAGAGGACAGAGAGGTCTGTGTTCACATTACTCCCAGAGACCACGAAATTTACATTTAATCCAAAAGATAATAAAAAAGATCAGAATAGCATAAAATTTTTATTACTGGGTTGCAGTGTCACATTTATTTCACATTCATTTGTGAAAACATTTCATTATATAAATAATGGGGCATGTGCTCTTGTTTACAATCCCCCCCCCCCACACACACACACAGCAGTGACATGATAGCTTCTGAAAACGAAGCCTAAACATAAACATATGCAACAGTATCCAACCGAACAGCCAGATATCCACACGCAAGACTTTCAGCAAGGCCTTAGAAAAGACTGAGGCTCACGAGAAAAGGGTAGATGCATTGCAGTGATAAGACATGTATTGCACTAGCATAGCTGTTCAAGGCTACTTGTCACTTTTGGAGCGATGCGCACAGACACACACAAACAGAAAAAGACTATTCCTGCTAGGACGTGCTTCTCAACTGCAGTGCAAAAAAAAAAAAAATTTCTCCTTCTACTGATTATAATTAATTGCATTTGAGGTTTCTATACAAATAGGGGAGTGCTTATTTCATCTAACTTTAAGAACAACAACAAAAAAGATGTGTACATGCACAAAGAAAAGGCAAAGGCATACAGAACTGTAAATATCCACACATAAATAGAAATTAAAAAAAAAAAGCCACTATAGTTTATTTGTCAAACTTTGTGAAATTAAAAAGTTTGACTAAGAAATTATTTCCCTATGGATAACCTGGAAATAAAGTACCATTTATCTCTGGAAATAAATAAGAGACACTTAAGGGCAGCTGCCCTCTGAATTAGACAGGCAAAAATATAATTATGAATGTTTAACTTAATCGCAGATTCATGCAAGGTGTTCCTTATTTGTACCATCTCTCAAAACACATTAAGGTGGAGCAGCCTTCAAAGAGTCACTGACAAAGGAGATGGCTTCAGAGAGAAAAGGAGCGAAGATTGGCGATGGGAAACAGACGCGCTGCCCAGACTTTACGCTCTACAAATTTTAGAGATTGATGAGGATTGTTGGCGAGCCAAGGCCCTCTTCCAGCCACGGTACAGACGAGGGGGTGCAATGCTGAGCTGTGCGCCGATGAATGCGGCGGAGTCGCCGTAAGTACAGTATAATAGAAAGCAAAACGATGAAGAAGCAAGCCAGGAATAAGTAGTGATTGTTGACAAAGGAGAAGCTGTGTCGCCAGTGAGAGTGCGCTCCTTTCAGGCTTTCCTGTTGGATGTCCCTGGAAGAGGTCACAACAAGAACAAGTCACACATATTACAACAGTTTGGGAAACAAAGACTGAGAGTTCTGTAGTGAAATCCAGCTCAACTAACCATGGCTGCACTCATTCACATGAACAGCATTATTTTCACTGGGCAAAATGACTTAAAGCTTGATTAGTAAACTGACGAGGAAAGGGCAACATGTGCGAGAAAATCCATCTTACCTTAAAGGCAGAAACCGTGTTCTGTAAAGTATAGCTCCAAGAGTCCACTGGACCTCCTTATCGTAGACCAATAAAGCAGTCTTTAGGTTTTTATAATTGGTTGGAAAAGAGAAGCCTGTGTGCAATACTTCATACATCCATGCCGATTTAAAACACTGGTACCTGCAGACAGGAAAAATACAGCACATGCTGAACATTCATGCAGCAGAGATATTGGAGGAACGTGACAAGTTATATGTTGTTTTCAGAAACTGCTGGAGAGTCCTGACTTACTTCAATCTATGGAGATCTGCATGTGAGGCATATAACCCAGACTCAAAGCGTTCCCTCAGAATCTTCCACTGGGTGGCACAATAACTCTGTAAATGTTTAATAAAAATGTCTGCAAAGTTTCCAATGATAAGTGAATGATAAACATTACTATAACCATTCTAGTGCTCAAAATAACTCTACTCCACTGCTCAAAAGGGTTAAAGGAACACTGGATCATCACAGCCTAAATAAAGTTAAACTTGAGGGATCAATCCACCCTAATAGCAAGCGTGAGCCATTGTGAATCAACTTCACCTGCTTTCAATCAAATTGAAAACAGGTACAGTGGAGAGGTAACAAAACACATCTCAAAAAGGGAGTGGTTTAGCAGGTGGTGAGCACCATTGCCATTATCCCTGCTTACTGATGGCACTTGCCACTACTGGTAGCATGAGATTGTTCCCCCAGCCCATTCAAGTTGCACAGCTACTCGAGCATGGTGCATCCCTATGACAATGGGGTTTACTGTCTCCCAGCACAGTCTCAAGAGTGTGGAGGACATACAAGGAGAAGGGCATCAACTCAGCAAGCAAGACTAAAGGACCAGGAGGAACACTGCCAGAGCCCTACACTACCTAGGGGGATACTCATATGTATGTCACTGACTAAACTGTCAGAAAGAGCCCATGAAAGTGACATCAGGGCCCCGAGTCCTTCAGCAGGCTCTGCGCTCACAACCTAGTACCGTGGAGCTCTGCTGGCACTTAAACTTTTTTAGCGCCACTCACCGTGGCAGCCTTGGCGTACTTCGAAGCATTATAATCTCCACCCATGCGCAGCACATCCTCCATGCAGTAGTAGAACTCAGAGAAGCCATAGAACTGACTGTTGCTGTAGTCAATTGCCGGCTGGTAGACGCCATTGAGGGAGGTTTGGGTGTCATTGGTGCGGTTTAGGAATGGCTGGAGAATTTGCCTACACTGGTCAAAGTCTCCAGTGCCTCGCAGATACAGGTGCTGCGTAGGTGGGCCGATCTCATCCTGCAGGTCAGTGGGTAGACATGGGTCCAGCAGTGGAGACTCCACTGTTTCACCAATATGCTGATCTAAGAGCCTGAATAAATATAATAAATATCCGCAATACTGTGTAGTGCCACCTTAAAAAAAAACAAACAAACCCAAAAACAGTTTAATTAAGCCAAGAGAATGACCTGCAGATCTCACCTGTTTCGGGCTGCAGTATTTCTGATGAGATTCTCCTCATATCTTTGGCGTGCTGCATTTCCTCCATAACCCAGAAAGGTGGACACATAAACACGATACACATGCTCTGTGCGATGCACGTCACACCCCAAGTTAAACTCGGCCAGTAAGTTCTTGGCGATTTCCTCCTACAGAGCAAACACACATCAGCACGAGAAGTGACTCCCTCCCTCTACTTACGCATATTCAAATTTACACACCCGCACTTCTAAAGTGCGTGTATGCATATAGACACACCTTTATTATTAGAGCAGGGCAGCCATAGTCGAGGCAAGAAAATAAAAGAGAAAGCTAAATATTGTGTCTCAAATAAGGCATCTCAAAACATCAAAGAAGCAGAGATGAACTATCTAGGGAGGCTACAGTCAATCAGTGGCATATTTGCTGAGCCTGCAGCTGGCTTACAGTAGAGTCAATAGTGATGAGTGGAGAGTAGATCATACAGGTTTTACCAGGAAATGATAGAGGGTGGAAGAAGGGGAGTGGGGGAGAAAAACAGAGGGTGAGTGGCAAAAACCAAAGAGCACGAAAACAAAATTGGTTGTGGATAATAACCTGCTGTGGAGAAGCAAAGCTTACAGTTTTGGGCACTTCGTACGCAATCTGTGTGGAGACACCACCCATGTCCAGGACACCTGTAGTCCTTTTCCTCAACAGCATCTCCTGCTGATCGCCGCCTGGAACATGTACCTCCACTACAGCCTCGCCGTCTTGGGTGATCGAGAGCAAAGGGGTTTGAGATTCAGTTAGTGAAGGCGTATCGTATGAGCACCGCGTTAGCAGATACAAAAGTCTCCATGGATTTAGTTAACATGCAGCACAACAGCCTTTTAGTGGCAAAAACTTAGTACACAAGTGTAATGCTACCTTCTTGGATTCTTACCATTGTGCACATGGTCAAATCTTCCAAGGACAAAGTTGATTCCAATCCAAGCATAGACACCTAAAACCAATAAATACAAAGTAAATTATGATATAAAGTTTAGTGTCAGAAAACTTTTCAGTGGCTACAAAGTGATGAATCAAATAAACTCCCACTGTATTAAATATAAAACAACACAAACCATTCTCATTCTGTATAACACACTGATGTTCATTCTTGTGTACTATAAAATTTCATGTTGTAATTTTATGTCTTTGTTGCCTGAACTACATCGTTGTACATTGTCTGATGATGTGTTAAATTTCTTATTTATTGTTTTCGTCTAACGTGCCAGGAACTCGATATTTTCACTGATTTGTTCATTTACATGCACTGTCCCTTTGAAATAAACAAATTCAAATTACGTTTCCATTTACGTACCTTCTTGTTTTCCAGAAATCACTTCCACATGGGAATCCGAGAAGAGGAAGTTGAAGTGGACTGGGATATCTGTGCGCAGATCCTCCAGAAGTGCTTCCTGTTGACTGAAATCAAACAAACAAAATAACAAGAACTTTGCTTTTTTTAACTGTAACTCAGGTCAGCTCAGGTGTTAACAGATTTGTAGTTCACGATTTTATTCTTATTGGGGTTTTACTTTTCGGGTAGGATTCTCATTCCAGCTGTGCACAGGACATACAAGGGTGTTTCCTGGTGCTTGTGTTTGGGGATGTGCTGGGCTGCAAAGCTCAGCAGTGGGTATATATAATCACTGGCTTTCTCCGGTGTTTTAGCCAATTCGGAAATACCTGAAGGAAAACACACATTAGATCGCAGCGGGTAAATCAAAGGCAGTACAAGATGCTGAAATGCGTGCATCACCATATAATATTGTGATAACAGTTTGAGCCAAACACTGGACATCTCACCTGGCTTGATTTTCATGACCACTGGCTTGCGGTTCTGATCTCGCATTTGCCGGATGTCCAGCAGTTCGTGGGGATTACCGTTGTGCCGGGGCCAGCAGTACACGAACACCCTGGAGCCACTGCTGCCACAGTCCACTACCAGACCGTAGTTCAGGTTGGGGTTGGTTGTGTCTGTTGCGTCGATATCAGTGACCCTGGCTAAATGCCTGTTGAGAATCGTAAAAGTTAGAAATGATGCTTCCCATGTTTACTAGGACATCTACAACTGGATAGTAGTTGTGTAAAACCTGTGGAAGTGATTTTCCTTTGTGATCCAGCTGACGTGCCCCTTTCCAGCAACAAGCAGCAGGTAGAGCAGCCCTATGAGACAGACCACTAGACTGATGAAGAGCAGCTGTCTGATTGATGGTATCAGGAGCCGAGGAAGAACCTGGGATGAGAGGCTGAAGTGCCACGAAGCTGGGAAAAGGCACGAAAAGCTGATCCTGTCAACAAAAGGTAAGAGAGCCTCAGCAAAGTATGAAACGTCACAGATATGTGAAAGGTATGCAAGGAGAAACCAACCTTCCCATGATGGACATTTCTTCTACTTGTTGCTTTACTTATCACTATAAAGCATGAAGCTGGAAGATGAATATCTGCCTTGTTCCAAACGTCCTGATGTCTTCATTTATCATTGTGACCTTTTAGGGGGCAATGTTATAAATTAACAGTTATTCGCATTTTATTTTGAGGGGAACTTGAGCTCTTTTATCAAGAAGGCCCGCAGAGCCGGTACGACACAGGACATGTAGCATATTATCGCTGTAAAGGCAACGTATTTAAACTACAGACAGACATTAGCCAAACAGGAAAAGCACTGCTTATAAAAGGAAAGCCGATAAGCGCTCACACGACCTAACATTTGCGTTTCAGACGTTTGTGTTTAATAACGTTTGACTTTGGTTGTAGTAGAAAGCTAAATGATCCTATTTTTGCGCGTTTTTACTGATCGTCACTATAAAACCGGTAATGTGACGTGTTCACAGCTCCTAGCCGGTTTATTACTTACTAGGTACGGTTAGTAGGTAAAGGTGTGGAAAATCCCCCCTTTTCTTGAAAATGTGGCGTTTATTAGCAGCCAGATGCTAACCTCTGGCTAACTAACGTAAAGGTACGAGAAGGAATCCGGTGAGTGACGTGGTAGTCGAGACGTGGTGATTGATTTTTATCTCCGCGTAGCCCGGATCGGAAGCCTGTGGGCAAACAGCCGCCCGTCTTGTTTTTTTCTTCTTCCACGTCTAATGTAGGGATTATTGTGCAATACCGCCACCTACTTCCTGGAATTAGGTAAGAAATGATCCCCAGGTGATGTGAAATCATCGTGTTTAAAGGGAGAAGTTAGGAAAGAAAAAGAAAGGTGTCAAAGGTTTATACTGAGTTGTGCGCACGGATGGACACCAGGGTAAGGAAAATGACTTTTATTGACTGACAGGCAGAGATCATGTGCAGCAGGTTCATGTGATTAAGGACAGGTATTGAAACGAAGACACAACACGTGTATGAATGAGATGGAAACAGTTTAATATGCGAGAGGTAGGAGGACGAGTTTAATTATTTGGGGTCAATGAGAGAGAGGTGAAAAAGAGAGCATACAGTGTGGAGTGTCAGGAGTGATTTATAACAGAAAGGCAACAGCAAGAGTGAACGGGAAGATTTACAAGATGGTAGTGAGATCTGCTATGGTGGGTGGTTTGGAGATGTTTGCACTGAGATGTTTTCATTGGGAGTGACCAGAATTGACAGGATTAGAAATGAGTACATCAGAGGCACAGCACAGGCTGAGCGGGTTGGAGACAAAGGTAGAGAGGCAAGGCTGAGATAGTTTGGACATGTGCAGTGGATTGATAGTGGATATAAAATCATAAGTCATACACAAATCCACTCATGTGGTATTTAATATAAGATTTATAGCTTACTGAAAAGACAAGACATTAATATTGACTTTCTAATAAGTTTGAAAAACAATAACAAATGATTTAAAACATGGTATAAATTATACAGCACATTTTCAAATGTATCCAAGTTACTGTAATAACTCTTTTTATATAAGACAAGTCATCAAGTGTAATTTCAATATGTTCTCTCAGTGCAAAAATAACCTGTGATAACCTGCCAAAATTCGTAGAGCTATAGTAGAACCTCACACTATAAAAGGTGCACAGTAGTTTTATTTGCTGTACGTGAATCCACTGGTAATCTCTTCATTATGCCCAGACAATTTGAACATTACTGCACTTCTTGCAGGCCAGCCACTCGGAGCAACTAATTTGCCAGCAGCAACTCACGTCCATATACTTCAGTCTCTTGCTCTGCTGTAATAAACTCTTCACCGTTCTAATCGTCACGTCTGTCCGCTGCAGATCAACGTGGCGTACCCGACCGAGCGGCACGAGAGGTGAGCCTGTGGATTCTGCAGAAGCACGCGGCTCATAGTTCTCTGTGCGTAGCACACTCTGTAAAGTGTAGTCCAAGGGGCACGGCAGGGAGACGAGTGAGAGCTTCTCCAGTAAAGGGGAACCAGTCAGGAGACACCTGAGGACCGTCTTCAGGGACATCCAGAACATGGCAGGCTTTATTTGGCTGTGCTCATAGGTGAAACTTCAGGGAGAGACAAAGAAGATGAGGAAAGATCTTTGATAGATTGCCAAAGTCTTGTCTGCTTATCAAAATATAATTTTCTGGCCTCATTTCTTAAGTTTCAAATAATTACTTCCTCTCACTTTATTTTGTTATATGCCACAACACAGATAGGTGCTACCGAGGCAGAAAAAAAGCTTAAAAAGAAGAATATGAACACTATAAAGGCCAGCGTTATCTGTACAAGCCTGGCAGCAAGAATAGACTTGATTTTCCTCTAATGGCATGATTAAATGTCAGATTGATGTGAAACATCATTATGAGCAGCCTACTACAAGAACACACAAAGAAACAGTGTAGAATCTTTACTGACGGGCAATACTTCCTGGTATACCATAAATAGTACCTCAGCAGTAACCTTACCTGAGTGTGAGAGAGCAAAGGTTAGGCAGACGTGGAAGATCTCCATTGTCCTGTTGATCCTCCTCATGTTCTATTTGTAGGAAGGAGGGAGAAGGCTCAGCAGAAATGAGCAGGTCTCTGAGTCTGGGACAGGCCCTGATGACTGGCAGGAGTCTGGTGTAGGAGTTGGTTTTCACCCCTTCAAGTGTAAGAGAAATCAGAGAGGACCCTGCAACTAACAGAGAGGGAAGGAGGTTGTCCAGATTTCCTGGGAATTGGACTGAGAGTCTCTGCAGCTGACCGGACCAGGCCTTGAGGCCCGCGGCTAACACAGATACCTTGCTTCCTCCTCTAGTGTTTTCATTACTGTCAACACTCACAGACATGGAGCAAATGCCTGGACATAAACGACCTAAACTATCCAGAGAGTCAAAGGTTAAGCCCTTAACATCCTTCAGTTTCAGGGCAAAGTCTGACTGTGACCAATGTGTCCTTTTTTGCCCTGACTGCCTCTGAGAGCAAGGCGGCCCTTCATCTCTACTTGTATCTTCCTCACTCCCACTCCTATACTCCTCCCATGACATCCCCTCCTCCTCTTCATCCTCATTTTCTCTATCCACTGCTGTTTTTTCTCTCCTCATTCTTAAATTATCCTTGCCCTCCTTGTCCCTTCTTTCCTGCCAAACCTGTTCCAGCTTGGCAACTCCTTCCCTGCTTGTAAACTCATCTGCCAGGCTGAACTCTCTGTGCTCGATGAGGCAGCAGGCCTTTTCTATGCCCTCCATGGCTACTCTTTCCAGGGAGGGGAGCGAGAGAAGGAGGTAGGCTGCAGCAGCCACAGGTTCTTCCTCTTGTACCCCAAACCCAATATCCAGAGCCAGCAGACTGCTGAGGGGAAGAGGAGCCAGGGTTGCAGGAAAGGATGAGGACTGATCAGAGCAGGAAGTGGAAACAGAACTCTGAGCTTTAAAGGGACTGCCTGAGGATGAGCAGAAAGCCCCACCTCCAAGAGGAAGCAATGCACCTGGGGAAAGCAAATGACAGTGGGATACATCTAGATGCCGCAACAAACGGCAACGGTGAGCGATTGTTCTGATTACATGCTTGTCACAGGACATGCCAGTCAGACAGAGGGAGCGCAAAGCAGGAAGGCCATGGAGGGTTTCGGAAATGACCTTTGAAGGTAGCTGCTGGGCTCCAGACAAATCCAGACTCCTCAAATCCTGAGACAAAAACACAGAAAGTTCAGACTCACAATAAATAATCAGACAGAGTAAAAGATGAGACACGGACATGGAAGCGGTGGTTTCTCTCCAACCTGGCAGCGTGCAGCAATGTGAGTGCAGAGGGCTGGGGTGACCAAAGCAGGACAACTTTCCAGAGACAGACCTCGAAGCTGGGGCACCAATAGGAGGTGGAGGGCTGCCCTGGACAACTTCTTTCTGCTGCACAGCAGGCATGTCAGCTCCTCAACCAGTTCACTGGCTACAGGCAGAGTTAAAGAGTAGAAAAAGAAACATCCACAAAGATATCATTAAGACACGTACAGCAGGGGATCACTTATAGTGATTTAGTCAAATCTGTGCTGCTGCTTTTTTAAATTTCTCCAGTTATCATTTTTTAATTAACTCACTGAGTAAGTTGAAAGGCCCCATGATGTATCTGAATGAATATTGATCCAGGTAGTTATCGGTATAGTCTTTCACCCACACTTTTTTCATGTTGTCAGCAAGGCTTAGCAGAGACAGCTGCCTCAGTGAAAGGACCGGACCATCTTCATCTGTCCTCCAGCAGTCTCCTGTTCTCTGCCTCCTGCGCCCAGGTCTAGCCTTCGCCCCACCACGTTCAGCCAAAGCCCGAAATAGGGGCATTGTGGGATTTCAGCTGACTTCAGGGCTGAAGTGGTCAAACGCAACAAGTGATGAAGGGTTAAAAGTAGAAATTGCTTTCTTTCATAAATTCATAATGTTGATAAGGAGTTTTAACTCTTATGTAATTTGAATGGTGTCATTAGGATTGAAGTTATTTTACCAACAAATGTTAAAAAAAAACATATATAGACACATATAAAACTGACACGGTGCACACCCCTCCTCTCACCGATCAGCGTTCATATCTAAACATTAAAACATACTAGCTGATGTTAATAACTACTTTGGTGTTCGTGTGTGAATGAGAGTGTGGGTGGTTAACCAAGCTACAGTAAAACTGTTAACTATCAGTGCTGCTGTCTAACTAACTCGCCTTTGTAGTTACGGAAAGATTGAAAGGAGCAGAATGTATTGTTTAGAATAGTTTCCAGTGCACTGACACCTACCTGGCAGATGTAACAGTGTGCTGTCTTGTCGTTATGCGAAAACAAAGCACAGTTGTGCCTTGCTCTGACGCTTTCAACACTTCCTGACTGGACGCTCGTCATGTGGAACATTTTTCCCTGAGTTTTGTCTCCCAGGAGCACTTCGCGTCAGGTTGCCTGACTCAAGTGAACTCCCCCGGTCTGAAAGTCCAGCGGAAAAAAAGCAGTGCTCGAGACTTCACTGGTAACCCGGTAGGGCTTTCTGAAAAACTTAGGGAGGGACCGAGTGTCACTGAACGTCAAGTTACGTTCAAGGTCAGTGTGAAGTTGAGGAAAAAAATGTTATAAATGCAAATTAACTGATTATTATCACTTTTGTTATCTTATCTGCAAGCAAATTGTCTATGAATGTAATACTAATCATTAATTAAGGCGTTCTGTATTACTCTCAGGAAAAGTCTTTTAATTATGTGCCTGTAAAGTAACTTTAAATGCTGATATTCGTGAATCTTATAAATGAATCTTGAACTGTGTTTAAGATACTTGTTGTTAATTAAAAAGGTTTACAACCTTCCAACATTTACTTATGTTGCAATGCCACGACGCAAAATACGAATACTTTATGTAATACCACTTTGTACCACACGATGGTGCTGCAAGACAATAGTAGGACTGAGTCTACGATTGAGAGGAGTAAATATCGATGTAGGCAATTAAGATAAATAATTGAACTTCCGCTTGTCTTTCTACACAATGTGAGCGCTCAAAAGCTTTCTGCTACAAGTCTCATTCACACAGTCACACATGTATATATTTTATCTATATACTTAAGCACTTTTACCTGAGTGTGTCTGCACTTAGGTATCGAAAAAAGCACTTGTATGAACGTGTGTGTGACTGGGTGACTGAGGCTTGTAGTAAAAAGCACTTTAAATGGTCAGCTAGAGTACAAAAGCTCCATAGAAGTCCATTTATCTAACATTCGCACACAAATGAAGCAAGGTTCAATATTTTACCCAGAATGCTTCAAGATCAGCTTTCAGACTGGTGGATGACACGCTCCACCACGTGAGCCACCCTCCAACCTTACAGTACCTGGTTTCTGAGGTGGGGTCCCATTCAAGTACTAAACAGGCCTGATGCTGCCCAGCCCCTGAGATCAGATTGATGAGATCAGGTGTGCTCAGGTGTTATGGCTGTAAGCTGTAAATCTGTTAAAAGATTTGGGCAACTGGGCTTCCGTGTTCACTGGTGTACCTCATGGATTAGTCAACAGGAGGTTATAGGCCTACATTTATTTCAATTAAATCAATAGAATTAATTGTGCCAGTTTAAGCCATGAACAGGATACCTGAGCATGCACCGTTCAAAACAATCACTAAAGTCTTTTTCACACATAAACCTGAGAAACTGTCTGTAGAATCAGGACCATCCAAAGTGTCACTTTTACATGCACAGCAGGAAAAAGTCTTATTCAGACTCATTCTCATTCTGGGAAATATTCCATTTGGTTTAGAGACACATGTTTAGACAGCGCCACTGTGGGTGGAGTGCAGACAACCAAGTGGAAAAAATATGAAGTGAAACTAAGTTGAATAGAAGTCTTTTTTTTAGACATGAACTTTTTTAACTTGAGGGTAGGCATGTGAGAGCATCTCTGCTACTTTGCTTGCAGCTATTAGCTCAGTTGAAGAAAGTTGCTCAGTTTATGGGCTGAAAGATTTTGCTCTTTTCAACAAATCATTCACAAATAACACAACACCACCTCATCAAGTTAATTGTATTGCTGTTTCGTTGTATGTTTACAATGGGTGAAATAAAAACGCTGTTTCTGTTTTGTTTACATCTTATCTTAAGCACTTTTTTTTCAGATAAAAGTGCTTTATGATGCTTTTATACTGTAACTGTTCCGACTACCGTTTTCTCCCACGAGTGGCTGTGAATTTTAGCGTGACATCTTCTGTTTTATGGGACGTTTTAAAAAAGAGAAGAAGCCTTGATGTCAGTAGGACATGCCACTACAGCCAGCTTCATGTCTCCAGGCTGTCTCTCCCAGACTGTATAAAATTGCTAATTGAAGGATGTGTAAGCTGCCTGTTTTGCTGGAAAGAAGGGCCAGTGTGTATTTTTTTTATTCCACAAAATAGAAATTGATAACTGCAAATTAAATATCAAAAGAAATCAATACAATCTTGGCGTCATTCTTTATTTCAATCACAGATGATGTCACACATCAAATACGAGCAAGTTTGCAAGACTTGACTTTTATTGCAGTGCGATAAAAAATTAGCAGTTAAAAAATTAGACTTGTCTTAAATACAAGTATTAAAGCTAATACATATTATGCAATAAGTTCAAATTATTATTCTCTTCATTCCCTAACAGCTGAAAAAGTCTGTTACAGCAACCTATACATAGTCTGTTTGAACTATAACTGGCAGCACTGACACACTGAAAATATTCTCAGTGAATTAAAGCTGACTATGGATTTGTATGACCACCAGGTAAGTTAGTAACAAAAAAGTTTGGAAATGTTTCATTTTATCTTATATATGTATAGAAAAAGTCTCACAATTTAAAATGTAATGTTTCTATTAAGCAGCAAAACTCCAGTTCCCAAAAAGATGGGACTCTATGTAAAAACCCATATTTAAATTACAGTAAAATACAGAAAACATATCAAATGTTTAAAATGAGAAAATGTACGATTTTATGAAGAAGAAATCTTGGTTGATTATGAATATGACATCAGCAGCACGTCTCAAAACAGTGAGCAGAGGACAAGAAAAGGCTGGAAAGGTAAGTGGTACTAAAAAGAAACAGCATGGTTTCATAGTAGAAGAATCTGGGTGGTGGCCTGCCTGCAGTACAGGCATATTATGAAATGGAAAATACAGCAAAGAAGACCCAGGAGTGTTGAGGAGCTACAATGCTCAGGCCAATATATGACAACATTCTTCCTCAAGAAGTCCAGAAATCTGTCTCCTCACTTTCTAAACGTTTATGGGTTGCTGCTAAAAGAAGAGGGGATGAGGATTTTTGGAATTGGGGTTGTATAATCATGTGCTATTTGGTATTTTCTAATCAGAAGTCGAGTCAGTTCCAGTTTTTGGATCACAAAGCATACTTTAGCTGCACAAGCATTAAAAATTGGAGCATCAACCACTGAAGATAATCGGGTCAGGCACTGCAGTGGCACACTGAGCATCTTTAAATCACAAGCACAAAACTTCGTGGACAATTGTGACACTGAAACATCAACCCGCAATAGAAAACTAGTATTTAAAACTTCTCCAGGATTTAAAAAATAATAATAATTTAAGGAAGAAGTTAAAATAATAATCATGATGACTTTGTGAACAAATGGAAGATTTAAAAAAGTGCTTTGTTAATCAGAGAGTGGTGGTGCATTAGTAGTAGGCAAAAATGACACACACCTGGCTCTCTTCTGGCAACAACCGTCTAAAAAAGTGCAAAGTTCAGTTATTAAATCCCTTATTCTCCTTTTTACATTGTAGCAGTTGTGTTTAAAGACTCATGCAGCAGATTGTATTCCAGCTCAGGTTACCACTGGGCTTGTGTGAATTGAAATACAGTCTCTGTTTTATGCTCTGATTAATTCAATTTTGTCTCTTTTGCAGGCACAGGGTTGATTTCTGTCGTGTTGGATATCCTGGACCTGTATTTTAGGCTGTGAGACAGGTACAGTTGTATTTATTCTGTGATCGGCACCACCCTCCTGCCAGCTACAAACACCTCCACGATGTTACGATCATCACCTGACACAGAAAAAGAAAGGGAGATAAGCATAAAGCAAATGGCTCGTAACTAGGGATGGGTACCG